TTGAGGCATTTTAAAAGTAAGGGTATTTGAGGCCTTTTCAAGTAAGGGCGAGTTTAAGGCCTTTTAAAGTAATGGTGAATTTAAGGCCTAAAATATGGGTGTGTTGGAAGATTTTTAAAAAAATATTTTGCTGCCTTTGAAAGGTGTTTTTAAGGCTTTAAAAATGCATTTAGTCCTTTTAGAGTACAGGTGTGTTTATACCTTTTAGGGTACAGGTGTATTTAAGGACTTCTGCCTTTACTGCCTTGAAAAGTGAGGGCTTTTTAACCCTTAAACTGTCCAAACAGATCTACGTTCACATGCGTAGTGCTCCAAAAGTAGATCTACGTTTCTTTACATATTTTCAAATATAACAAAAAAAACGTAGATCAAAGTTTTTTTTACACGTTTTCAAATGTAAAAAAAAAAAAAGGTCTACGTTTTTTTACATAATTTCAAATGTTGAAAAACCGTAGATCTACGTTTGGACAGTTTAAGGGTTAAGGTCTTGGTTAGATTTTCTTTGGCCTTTTCTAACATTCCTGAATATTTTTCAAAAGACTAATTTTTTTTTGCCTTTTTAGGGACTTTTTTTTACAAGAATTTATCTTATGTTTAGGTAAAAATGTTGATTTGTATATAATCCCTAGTGAGGCCTTTCTCCCCCCCCCCTCTCAAGTGTGATAACAAGTTTAACTACCTCTTAAAGCACAAGTGCTATGTGGTTGTAGGGGTCTAGTCACAGCTCTTGGCCCCAGGGTGAGTGATCACGACTATGTATTAAGAATAGGACATCCTCAACTCATGAATATATTGGGGACCTCCTGAATTGCATATATTATTCATAATGCAGGAAGTTTTCAACTTTTAAACACATTGGGGACCTTCATTGTTGTGTATAATAATGATATAATGTTGATATTATACACAATAATGATATAATGATATACACAATACAAAAGATTCTCAACGTATGTAAACAGTCAGAGTGCTGTGACTGGAGCTCGCCAACAACCTGCACTGAGTACAACACCATAGTAACGCTGTAGTCCATCCTGGTCTACTTGTGAGATGGCAGTGGTCCATCCTGGACCACTTGTAACATAACAGTGGTCCAGGATGGACGAAAACCTTGCCATAAAGGCCCTCTTTGATGTGTGAGATTTTGGTGAACTGCGCATTAAGATTTGTAAATAATTGTGCCATGTAATGCTAATATTAATCAAGGTGTATTGGGGTCTGATTGAGGCTTAGTTCAACAAATATATATATATATATATATATATATATATATATATATATATATATTATATATATAATATATATATATATATATTTTATTCCAGCAACAGATTAATTTTTATAACCTTTTTTGGTTCAAGTTTTTACACTTATTCTGATAGAAACCAATATTTTCAGAACCCAAAGATGATGGAGGTTTTATAGTCATCTAAGCAGGGTTCTACTGACAAAACAAAAGGTGAGTAGCAAAAGCCTTTTATTTCACCTTCTATTTTTAATTGTGCTGCTTAAACACAACTGTCACTTGTCGACGAAAGAGTTCACACTCGTATATTGTATTTATTCCAGAAAGATATTGTATAACAATGGGTTATTGTAAAAGATTTTTCAGATGCTGAACTGCTTGTAAAAGGAGGAGGCATCCCTTTTGTGTGGTGATTCCAGTCCCAGCACCTTGGCTCCTGCCGGTGCCACGGGGGTGTTGACCCCCGAAACACCTTCAGGGTATACTCCAGGTATATGTAGGAGTGTCCCTCCACCACAGCCAGCACAACTCACCCAGATCCACCAATTCAAATTCAATTCAAAATTCAAAGTTTATTCTCTATAAAGATTATAATGTTGAATTTACAGAATTTGGTTGTTGTGTGGTTTACATATAGTTAAATAATGATTACAGAGTGTACCACTAGAACGCCTAGCATGGCTAGGCATTTCGGGCAGACTTAGTTTAATTCTTTATTTTAAAATATTACAAATTATGAGGTAAGTTGATATTATGGCTAAGTGACTAAATACTAGTTTGTGAGTTTAGCATTGTGAATGCTTTTGTTTTGGCACAGTACATAGTTTCAGTATTGGAGTATCATAGGATTCATTATTTTAAGATTGAGATTAATATTTCTGTTTATGGTCAAATGGGTGAGTGAGTGTAAGTGTGAACCACCAGGTGGTATTCGTGTAGTTAGTTGATGGGGTTTATCAGGGAGATAAGATGTTTTCTAATGGTAGTTTTGAAGGTGATGAATGTGTCTGCAGTTCTAGAGTTCTCAGGTAGGGTGTTCCAGATTTTAGGGCCTTTGACATACATTGAGTTATTCTTAATGGAGTCATCCTAAGCAAATATGTCACCCTTGTCCTCTGATATATTACATATAAGAATGTTACAGTGGACCCACATGAACGGGGTCATGTAGGTACATAGGAGCAAATTCAGTATTGAAAGAAATGTATGATGACGTTTTGGTTCAACTTGGACCGAAACTAGTCACAACGCATGTGACTAGTTAATGGTCCAAGTTGGACCAAAATGTCACGATGAGTTTCATTCTCCTATGTGCAGGTTATTTATGTATCGTTCCAGTCACTGTATTGTGCCTTTTTATTCTTACATGGCATTTATCTACTACATCAGATTCCGTCATCCATCTTTCAATCCATTTGCTCAATTTACTCAAGTCATCCTGTAGAGATTTATATTTTTATTATTTATATTTCCAAAGATTTTTGCATCATCTCCCCTTCAGGACATTTTTCCTCTTATAAACTGTCATCATCTCCCTGTCTAACAGGAAGTCTCTTATCCCTTTAATCCTTCTATGTTTTGAAGTTTCCAAATGATCAAGGTATGTGACCCAGGCACGAAGTGAGAGGCAGCTGACCTCACAGCCAGAAGAGATAGGGAAAAGAGTTCGTGTTTGGGTAACTAGCAGATGGCCCTAACACTTTGGCTGTTTCCCACCGAGGCAGAGTGACCTGAAAACGCAGAAACACTTTTACCATCACTCACTCCACCAGTCTTCCAGAAATGTGCCAGTACATGTATTACGGTTCAAAAATTGCAGCATATCTCCACCCCTCCTGCAGAGTGCTGGCACTGACGTTAAAATAAAGTTAGCCTTCAGAATTTGAAAGGGACATATACAACATGCAAATGTATGTAGCACCTGGACCTGATTCCTGTAATGCATTATTTATAAATAAATGCTAAGTACCATTATCAGGAGAACTGAGTATTCTTGTGAGAGGCTTAAACTCATGTAAAATCTCTATGGCTTTAAGAAAAAAAAAGGTAGATATAGCCTTAGTAAAGAAGGCTGCAGAGCATTAGCAGAAACTACAAAGTAGCAACAGCTACATCACATGTCAGAATCTGTGGTGAATGGTTTTGAAAACCGACAAGTTGAAGAATTGAAACACTTGTGCAACACATGGGAATCTTTATTGAAGAAATGTTTCGCCACACAGTGGCTTCATCAGTCCAAAGTAGAAATGGGTAAGGAGAGGAGGAGTTCGAGGTAATCAGTCCCTCAGCCTGGAATCGATGTGTTCAGTCCATCACTCTTGTAGGAAGTGTAGCATAGGGCCAGAGAGGTGGCTTATATACGGCAGTCAGATGAGTTGAAGCAGGAGGAGGCGGGATCACAGTGGAACCTGCCACTTGTGTAAGTAGGTCATCGCGTTGCACAAGTGTCTCAATTCTTCAACATCACATGTCAGAATCTGAACGAATTCTTAGACACCAAATTACTGATTTTATGGTGAAACATGAATTAGACAACCAACGTTGATAAAGTGTAGAGCAGGAAGATCTTGCCTGTCCCACTGTTAGATCACTGTGACAAAATTATGGAGGAATTGGAAGAAAAACAAAATGCTTGTGGTATCCTCAAAGATTTTGGAAAGACATTTGAGACTTGTCCATGGAGTAATAGTTTATAAAATCAAGCCAGTGGTATACAGTAACAGGAAAAATAAGGAAGTGGGTATTCTAACTTTGATCATAGGGAACATAAGTGATTCATTCATTCATTAGAGGTTCGCCGGTACTTCCGGCCCGGGTCTTCTCCATATGGTGACCCGGCTGTGGCCCTCGGTTGGGGGTGTCGTTCATCTTCTTCTTTCTTCTGTCTTCTTTCTTGGGCCCTCCGGCTGGAGGGAACATGAGTGATGATAAACAATATGAAGTCCAATCTTGACCAAGTAAAAAATTAAATACTTACCTGACACCAATACCATTTCTCAATCATTATTATTATTATTAAAATTATTATTATATGTATTTAGGGGAAGCTTTATATTCAGCTCCATTAGCCTCCCCTCATAGCTCATACCCCTTAACTCAGGAACAATCATTGTTATATGCTTCTTTACTTTCTTCAGTTTCTTAACCTGCTTCCTCAGTTGTGGGTTCTGTGCTGGTGCTGTGTACTCCAAGATGGACCTGATATATGGTGTATAAAGTGCATGCACACATGCAGTATGCATATTTGCATGTGTAATTGCATGCACATATATGCACATGTGTATGTGTACATTCCCACTCATGCAAGCAAGCATGTGTGCATGAACGAGTGAGTAAACTATCTCATGTGGGTCACTTGTTCAGTGTTGGGACAACTGAACCATACCACAGGCGGGATTTGAACCCGCGGTCAGAGAGTCTCAAAACTCTAGACCGTTGCGTTAGCCACTGGACCAGTGGCTAACGCGATGGTCTGAAGTTTTGAGACACTCTGACCGCGGGTTCAAATCCCGCCCGTGGTATGGTTTGTTTGCAATCGTGTCATTACGATTTCGTGAGTCTTGGGACAACTGCTAATGGCCTGAATGGAAATAAGTCACTTTGTCTGACATTTTTGGGGATTATCCTAGGTTATTGACACATATTACTATATATGATAATTGTACTTATGTGTACTTGTACCTAAATAAACTTATTTACTCCACTTTGTGTAATGTAAATAAAATATATTAATGCAAATATTTTTCCTCAACAGTTGGACAGCCAGGATGAGCAAGCAGCCGCCATCCGTAGAGAACTAGATGGGCGTATGCAGAAGGTTGCAGAATTAGAACGGGTGAGTATATTTGAAGACTGTGTATTTTAAGAAGGTATATTTAAAGATCGTGGATGTAGTGCGGATGACAAGAAACAGATGATTGCTGATGTTATAAATGAAAAGAAGTTGGATGTCCTGGCCCTAAGCGAAACAAAGCTGAAGGGGGTAGGAGAGTTTCAGTGGGGGGAAATAAATGGGATTAAATCTGGAGTATCTGAGAGAGTTAGAGCAAAGGAAGGGGTAGCAGTAATGTTAAATGATCAGTTATGGAAGGAGAAAAGAGAATATGAATGTGTAAATTCAAGAATTATGTGGATAAAAGTAAAGGTTGGATGCGAGAAGTGGGTCATAATAAGCGTGTATGCACCTGGAGAAGAGAGGAATGCAGAGGAGAGAGAGAGATTTTGGGAGATGTTAAGTGAATGTATAGGAGCCTTTGAACCAAGTGAGAGAGTAATTGTGGTAGGGGACCTGAATGCTAAAGTAGGAGAAACTTTTAGAGAGGGTGTGGTAGGTAAGTTTGGGGTGCCAGGTGTAAATGATAATGGGAGCCCTTTGATTGAACTTTGTATAGAAAGGGGTTTAGTTATAGGTAATACATATTTTAAGAAAAAGAGGATAAATAAGTATACAAGATATGATGTAGGGCGAAATGACAGTAGTTTGTTGGATTATGTATTGGTAGATAAAAGACTGTTGAGTAGACTTCAGGATGTACATGTTTATAGAGGGGCCACAGATATATCAGATCACTTTCTAGTTGTAGCTACACTGAGAGTAAAAGGTAGATGGGATATAAGGAGAATAGAAGCATCAGGGAAGAGAGAGGTGAAGGTTTATAAACTAAAAGAGGAGGCAGTTAGGGTAAGATATAAACAGCTATTGGAGGATAGATGGGCTAATGAGAGCATAGGCAATGGGGTCGAAGAGGTATGGGGTAGGTTTAAAAATGTAGTGTTAGAGTGTTCAGCAGAAGTTTGTGGTTACAGGAAAGTGGGTGCAGGAGGGAAGAGGAGCGATTGGTGGAATGATGATGTAAAGAGAGTAGTAAAGGAGAAAAAGTTAGCATATGAGAAGTTTTTACAAAGTAGAAGTGATGCAAGGAGGGAAGAGTATATGGAGAAAAAGAGAGAGGTTAAGAGAGTGGTGAAGCAATGTAAAAGAGAGCAAATGAGAGAGTGGGTGAGATGTTATCAACAAATTTTGTTGAAAATAAGAAGAAGTTTTGGAGTGAGATTAACAAGTTAAGAAAGCCTAGAGAACAAATGGATTTGTCAGTTAAAAATAGGAGAGGAGAGTTATTAAATGGAGAGTTAGAGGTATTGGGAAGATGGAGGGAATATTTTGAGGAATTGTTAAATGTTGATGAAGATAGGGAAGCTGTGATTTTGTGTATAGGGCAAGGAGGAATAACATCTTGTAGGAGTGAGGAAGAGCCAGTTGTGAGTGTGGGGGAAGTTCGTGAGGCAGTAGGTAAAATGAAAGGGGGTAAGGCAGCCGGGATTGATGGGATAAAGATAGAAATGTTAAAAGCAGGTGGGGATATAGTTTTGGAGTGGTTGGTGCAATTATTTAATAAATGTATGGAAGAGGGTAAGGTACCTAGGGATTGGCAGAGAGCATGCATAGTTCCTTTGTATAAAGGCAAAGGGGATAAAAGAGAGTTCAAAAATTATAGGGGGATAAGTCTGTTGAGTATACCTGGTAAAGTGTATGGTAGAGTTATTATTGAAAGAATTAAGAGTAAGACGGAGAATAGGATAGCAGATGAACAAGGAGGCTTTAGGAAAGGTAGGGGGTGTGTGGACCAGGTGTTTACAGTGAAACATATAAGTGAACAGTATTTAGATAAGGCTAAAGAGGTCTTTGTGGCATTTATGGATTTGGAAAAGGCGTATGACAGGGTGGATAGGGGGGCAATGTGGCAGATGTTGCAAGTGTATGGTGTAGGAGGTAGGTTACTGAAAGCAGTGAAGAGTTTTTACGAGGATAGTGAGGCTCAAGTTAGAGTATGTAGGAAAGAGGGAAATTTTTTCCCAGTAAAAGTAGGCCTTAGACAAGGATGTGTGATGTCACCATGGTTGTTTAATATATTTATAGATGGGGTTGTAAGAGAAGTAAATGCGAGGGTCTTGGCAAGAGGCGTGGAGTTAAAAGATAAAGAATCACACACAAAGTGGGAGTTGTCACAGCTGCTCTTTGCTGATGACACTGTGCTCTTGGGAGATTCTGAAGAGAAGTTGCAGAGATTGGTGGATGAATTTGGTAGGGTGTGCAAAAGAAGAAAATTAAAGGTGAATACAGGAAAGAGTAAGGTTATGAGGATAACAAAAAGATTAGGTGATGAAAGATTGAATATCAGATTGGAGGGAGAGAGTATGGAGGAGGTGAATGTATTCAGATATTTGGGAGTGGACGTGTCAGCGGATGGGTCTATGAAAGATGAGGTGAATCATAGAATTGATGAGGGAAAAAGAGTGAGTGGTGTACTTAGGAGTCTGTGGAGACAAAGAACTTTGTCCTTGGAGGCAAAGAGGGGAATGTATGAGAGTATAGTTTTACCAACGCTCTTATATGGGTGTGAAGCGTGGGTGATGAATGTTGCAGCGAGGAGAAGGCTGGAGGCAGTGGAGATGTCATGTCTGAGGGCAATGTGTGGTGTGAATATAATGCAGAGAATTCGTAGTTTGGAAGTTAGGAGGAGGTGCGGGATTACCAAAACTGTTGTCCAGAGGGCTGAGGAAGGGTTGTTGAGGTGGTTCGGACATGTAGAGAGAATGGAGCGAAACAGAATGACTTCAAGAGTGTATCAGTCTGTAGTGGAAGGAAGGCGGGGTAGGGGTCGGCCTAGGAAAGGTTGGAGGGAGGGGGTAAAGGAGGTTTTGTGTGCGAGGGGCTTGGACTTCCAGCAGGCATGCATGAGCGTGTTTGATAGGAGTGAATGGAGACAAATGGTTTTTAATACTTGACGTGCTGTTGGAGTGTGAGCAAAGTAACATTTATGAAGGAGTTCAGGGAGACCGGCAGGCCGGACTTGAGTCCTGGAGATGGGAAGTACAGTGCCTGCACTCTGAAGGAGGGGTGGTAATGTTGCAGTTTAAAAACTGTAGTGTAAAGCACCCTTCTGGCAAGACAGTGATGGAGTGAATGATGGTGAAAGTTTTTCTTTTTCGGGCCACCCTGCCTTGGTGGGAATCGGCCAGTGTGATAATAAAAAAAAAAAAATATATTTAAAGATAAGGTGATTCATGGGGTTGATACACTCAATAGGTAACTTGTTGCTTATTTCTTGTTCGTTTAATTTATGTTAATCACTAAACCCATGTGAGTCATTCAGCACAATGCGTGGTGGAGTCTTGATCCTATGTCTGTTGAGCAAGGAACAGATGTGTTTCCTATTTGTACTCCTGTGAAATTTCAACGAGGTCCTTCGGAAAACCAATTATGTTTACTGTGTTTTGGGTTTATATGCTAGGCTTCATTTTTTTGTGTAAGTTATTGAGGTGATTGAGGCAGCATATGAAATTTATTCAGAGTATGAGAAGAGCAATTAAATTATTGCTCATGTAAGTTGGAAGTTGATTACAAGTGCACTATGAGAATTTTCCTATGATCCGTTACCTAGGATGATGGAAGTTTACCTTCTGTTTTCCTAGTTCAGTTTAATACATTCTTCCTGGATTGAGAATCTCAACATATCATGAAAGTACAATATTGCAAGTATACATTCATGAATTTGCAAGTCCACAGTCATCAGTTGACAAGTCTGCATTCGTGGATTTGTAAGTCAGCATTTGTCAATTTGCAGGACCACATTTGTAAATTTGCAAGTCCTCATTCATAAATTTGCAGGACCACATTTGTAAATTTGCAGGACCACATTTGTCAATTTGCAGGACCACATTTGTAAATTTGCAGGACCACATTTGTCAATTTGCAGGACCACATTTGTCAATTTGCAGGACCACATTTGTCAATTTGCAGGACCACATTTGTCAATTTGCAGGACCACATTTGTAAATTTGCAAGTCCTCATTCATAAATTTGCAAGTCTGCATTTGTAAGTTCACAATTTTCCTGACTTTCAGTGTTTGTCTTGTCCTCAGAATTTATTGCATAATGTGCTTTCTTCCTCTCTGAAAATATCCTATTCAAACATCCCAAACTTCAAATACTTAAATTAAAAAGGAATGTAAAGGAGTTATTGTAAAATTTATTACCTTAATTTGTCTATACATTATTCAGAATAAAAAATAAGTGAGAAAAATTAAAGAGGTATTTATAATGCGATAAACCTTCTCTGGTAGTTAGAGAAATATTGTCGGTAATTCTACCAACATTATTACAGAAATGATTGTTTTGCTGTGATTGTAACAGTAATGAACAACACTGTGACCACAGGACTTTATCCATTGTTTCGAAGTCTGTTGACTCAGTGGATTTTATTCCATGTTTATGAAGTCTGTTAAATGGAGGTTAATTAAATGGAGGGTTTACTGTGTATATATGTATAGGAGGGCCTCACTTATACAGCAGATTAGGTTCTGGGCTACTGCTGTAAAGTGAATCATATCCTTTTTCCCTTTCAAATGCATATAAATGCCTGATAGCATGTTAAGGGAGCAATATAACTAGGCCTAAAAAATGCACATACAGTACATACATTACTTACCTTAAAATATTTTCATTCTTTGCTTATAGTGAGTGGTTAATATATTTATTGTATGAAGTGTGAATAAGTGAATAATGGAGGTTTTGAATATGAGGGACTTGGACATCCAACAGGCTTGTGGGAGCATGTTTGATAGGAGTGAGTGGAGGTAAGTGGTTTTCAAAATTTGACGTGCTGTTGGAACATGAGCAAGATAATACTTATGAAGGGATTCAGAGAAACTTGTTAGCTGGACTTGAGTCCTGGAGGTGGGAAGTACGGTGCCTGCACTCTGAAGGAGAGGTGGGGATGTTGAAGTTTGGAGGATCATGTGAACTGTAATAAGGTGCTTATAGCAAGACAGCAACTGAATGAATGACATTGAAAGTAAACCATACCACGGGCGGGATTGAACCCGCGGTCAGAGAGTCTCAGAACTCCAGACTGTCGCGTTAGCCACTGGACCAGCTAGCCACAATGGTCCAGCTAGCCACAATGGCTAGCTAGTCCGGTGGCTAGCGCAACTTTCTGGAGTTTTGAGACTCTCTGACCGCGGGTTCAATCCCGCCCGTGATATGGTTTGTTTGCAGTCGTGTCATTACGATTTCGTGAGTCACATTGAAAGTGTTTTCTTTTGTGTTGGGTCACCCTCTCTTGGTGGGAGATGGCCAGAATATTAAAAGTAGTTTAGAGAGCCGAGGTGTTGTTGAAGTGGTTTGGGGGTTTAGATAGTTTGGAGAAGAATAGGATGACCAAGGTGTATATATCCAGGGTGGAAAGAAGGAGGGGGTTAGGGTCAGCCTGGCAGGGGCTGGAGGGAAGGGTTTAGGGTTTTAAATGATATTTTTATTATGGGACCAGTAGCAGTGTTCTGGGGCCCCTAATCCTGGAGGGGCCCCAGAAGTGACTTTAGTCCACATTGCTTAAATATTTTGGATCTACTGTATGAGAAGAGTTTTTAAAAAATAATAATACATGTATAGTGTAATTCAATACAAAATAATAGTTAAGTTAAAAATTAAAAGGTTGTTAAAAGTATCATGTAGGCTAGCTGTTGCTGGTCGTGAAGGGGCCCCCCATAACAGTTCAAGCTTCAAGGCCCCAAAAATGTAGGGCCACCAGTGAGCATATGAGTGTGTTTGATTCGGAAAGCTTACTCGAGCCCTGCTGATGGGTAGCACAGCAGATGCACTCTGAGGTACAGCTGTCAGTGTTGATGGGTCATTGAAATTGTGATTTCTGTGCTCTTCTGAAAGACATATATTGAATGAATGATTCTGAATGTCTCCTTTTTTGACTGGTGTGGTAAAATAAATGAAAGTTAGTAAGATATGTATGGCAACAAAATTACTATTAAAAAAATTCGTATGAGCTAGAGGATCAGGATTGCCATCCATCTCAGTCAATTGTGCAGTAAAAAATTGACTTAGAACCAGTTTAATTTCCCCTTCCAGAAAGTGTTTCATTGCAGTATAGTATCCCCTTGAATTACCTGAGAAATCAAACTTTATTTCTATAGAAAGGAGTACAGTATATTATACAGTTAGGGTATTTGACATATACAGTGGACCCCCTGTTTACGATATTATTTCATTCCAGAAGTATGTTCAGGTGCCAGTACTGACCGAATTTGTTCCCATAAGGAATATTGTGAATTAGATTAGCCCATTTCAGACCCCCAAACATACACATACAAACATACTTACATAAATACACCTACATAATTGGCCGCATTGGAGCTGATCGTAAACCGGGGGTCCACTGTATAAACTACTTTATAGAAAGCCCTTATTATACAAGGCATTTCAAGTAGCAGGTAGCCAGTAATGTTGATTGTGGCAAATAAACGTGAGATTGTTTTTGTAATCGTATCAGAAGTGAACAATTGTGTAAGCAAAGAACTTTGTCCATCGTTTCTGAGTCAACTGACCCAGCAGATTTTGTCCCATATTTCTGAAGTCTGTTAAATTGATGGATTGTGTATTGATGGATTTTATCATTATTATCTGATGGACATATCCATGACTATTTCTGATAGTCCTTCCGCTCCTGAAACTGGACTCGAGACCATACCTCATTGTTGACTGGTGGATCCACCAAACTGTTGCTAATGTCACACCTTCAAATTTTGAGTGATTAATATACTATACAGTACCTAGCAAAACAAATTATATTCTAACCAAAATTAAATGCGTTTGAAAAACATTTTTGGATTGGTTTATCTACTGCAAGTCATTAAGGCTTCATAAAACCTCTTTATTACTAGTCAAGAATACTAATACCTGAAACAGAGATTAAAATATCTTTTCAGTGCATATACACTGTGAGGCATATATCTCTCAATGTACCTTTTCAGTGTATATACACTGTGAGGCATACTTCAGTACCTTTTCAGTGCTATACACTGGAGATATATCTCTCAATGTACCTTTTCAGTGCATATACACTGTGAGGCATATATCTCTCAATGTACCTTTTCAGTGCATATACACTGTGAGGCATATATCTCTCAATGTACCTTTTCAGTGTATATACACTGTGAGGCATATATCTCTCAATGTACCTTTTCAGTGTATATACACTGTGAGGCATATATCTCTCAATGTACCTTTTCAGTGCATATACACTGTGAGGCATATATCTCTCAATGTACCTTTTCAGTGTATATACACTGTGAGGCATATACCTTCAATGTATATATAGTCAGTACCTGGAGAATAAGAAGTATTGAGATTTGATCCAGGGAAGGAAAGGGGTAGTTTCAATACCTTAGATCAAGAGATTTTTTGTCAACATCAAAGTACCTTCCTTTTCTTTGCAGCAAATACAAATATTTGGTGGTACCTTACATGTTCTTGTGTGTCAAATTTACTGCAAAAATGTTATGGACTTTTAACTGTAAACTGCAAGTACCAGTCATTTCTCTTATAAATCTTCTTTATATAGTGCAGTGTTTTGTAAGTGTGATTGAAAAAGTCGATCGGAAATTGAATTGCATGTATTAAAAAAGCCTTTCCACACGTTATTCAATTTTGCACGTATTTTGTCAATCACGTTTACGAAAAATTGCACCAGAGTATATAAAAAAGTTTTATAAAAGTTCACTGCATTGAAGTTTTGCAATCTTGCTGCGTAAAAACACGATCTGTAAGATACAAGCCCAAATTCACTTGGAGACATTTTAGCCATCTTGTAAATTAGTTAAAATTGTACCTTATCCAAGAATACTTGTTCTTAAAATGCAGGTATTAAATTGCATTTCTTCCTGACTGATGATTCACTAGACTGACAATCAACCCAGTTATATATCTCAACACTCACTTTAAAACACATAATATTTGTGACTTTCCAGTTCAGTATTCCTCCTTCCGTGCCATTTTCCTTCTCATTTCCCACTTTCTGTTAAGCAGAGTCAACCAGAGGAGGTTGACAACTGGCTGGCTCTACCTAGTTGATGATGAGTGTGTAACAGCTGATGATGAGTGTGTAACAGCTGATGATGAGTGTGTAACAGCTGATGATGAGTGTGTGACAGCTGATGATGAGTGTGCAACAACTCTCATAGCAAAGTGGCACTGAAACTCATCACCTGTGACCTGGCTGCTTTCTAAAGTCATATTGTGAATATTATAATGGTATGTGATACTGACAAGTTGATAAGGATGTGTGCAACTGTTAGGTATCTTTATTCCAAACTGTTCACCTACACAGTAAGCTTCTTCAGTCAAATGCAGAGGAGGCAGCAGAAACGATAGAGATGTAAAGAGGATGTAATCAATCCATCACCCTCGAAGACGTAGTTTTGAGGTGGTCAGTCCCTCAGCCTGGAGAAGAGTTCTGCTTCAGAGTCTGGAACAGTGTTATGTATCTAATATCATTTAATTTTTTCCGAAGAATATTTGTTCAATATTTTATACAAATAACCCGCACATAGAAGAGAGAAGCTTACGACGACGTTTCGGTCCGACTTGGACCATTTACAAAGTCACAAAGTCAGTGTGACTTTGTAAATGGTCCAAGTCGGATCGAAATGTCGTCGTAAGCTTCTCTCTTCTATGTGCGGGTTATTTGTGTATCGTTCCAGTCACGGTATTGGGCCTCTTTTTGTTATTCAATATTTTATGTTCAGTACTGTTTGTGTTTAATTAATTAAAAAGAATACAGCAACAATACAGTAGAGCACAAATGTGTAGGAACTGACAGCACCTAGACTCTTCCTCTCTCTCTCCTATTTTCACCACTCTTTTATTTGAGAAAGCAGTGGTTTAGTAGTAGAGTTGTTTAGGAGTGACTGAGAGCAGTACCTGCGTAGCATAGGCCAGTAGGCCTTATGCTGCACTCATTTGCTATTATTTTGAAACGCAGTGGTTTAGCAATACAGTTACATGTGATTGGTAGAGTAGATGTACACGGCAGATCCTGATACGATGAGGAGAATTATGGAAGTGGTAGAAAAATGAACACAGTTGATTTTTAGGTGTTCAAGCAAGAACAAGTGAGGTAATAATTGCAGAATTGCTGACAAAACATTGCCACAATAAAATTTCACATTAGATGCATCTGTGTCCATTTACCTAACAAGAGCAAGTGAGAAGAGGTGAGGAAAAATGAACACAACTGACCTAGAGGTGTCCAAGGAAGAACAAGCGAGTAGAGATGTGGCTTACAATGGAGCTGATCTGGTCAGCCTAGTGTGAGCCTCTGGTTGGTTCCTGTGTGAAGAAAGTGTGAAACAAGAAGGAAAACAAGGTGGGAGGAGATGTACTGAAATGAAAGTGCCAGATACATCCTGTCTGTTAGTGTTTTAAGGTGAGTTGAGGTGTAAGTGTGTCCTGGTTGTGTTCCCAGTGGATCATCAGATCCCAGACACAGCAAGCCATCCTAATTATTGCAAGTGTTCCTCCATATTTCATTCTGATCTGCTGTACTGTATTTCCGTATCTCATCTTTACACTACCACATCCTCTTATTATTACCGTTTTTTTTACTTCCACGTCTTTAAAAAGGAGTTAGAAGGTCTAAAGAGAGATCCGGAAGTAAGTTTTATTATGGAGATATTCCTAGAGGCCTCAGTAAGCCATAGGTTTGCATTTCTCTTTGTAGAAGTAGCAATTAGATATTGAATGAAAGGCTATATATAAATCGTGGGTATGCCATATATTACAGGTAATATATGATAGATATGTCAAGTGTATTCCTTATGTGTTACCCAGAAATCTAAGTTATTTTTACAATACTTCAACTTTTTAAATGCCTCTTTTTTTTTTTGTCTAATGTTTATTTTTTTAAGCTTAGGTAACCTGATGGAATATATTTACATGTCAGTATTATGTTTTAGGCAAAAACTGCTAAATCTGTGCACAAATTATAATTTCTGTAATGCCATTAGTATAAAATTGGGCAAGTTGATATGCATTAATATTTAGGTTCTTCTTGAAATGGACATGAGAGAGAATGATCATTATGTAAAAAATTCTACTTTAAATATAATCCTCAAATTTTTGTAGTTTGCTCTTAGTGTGGCCAATACTGTACATGTTGAATTTTGGCCTGTTTGAATTTATTTACTGATTCATTGATTCTTATATGCTTTTACTACATCATTTAGTTGATTTCTACAAGGTGTTTCACTTGTAGGAGGCCGCAAGTTGGTACTTCTGTGGTTGCAACTGTCTTATTTGTATATTATGTCTATAGTAAGTCATAACCCGGGGCCCTCTTACTCGATAACTCGGGGCCTCCTACTTGATAACTCGGGGCCTCCTACTTGATAACTCGGGGCCTCCTACTTGATAACTCGGGGCCTCCTACTTGATAACTCGGGGCCTCCTACTTGATAACTCAGGGCCTCCTACTTGATAACTCGGGGCCTCCTACTTGATAACTCGGGGCCTCCTACTTGATAACTCGGGGCCTCCTACTTGATAACTCGGGGCCTCCTACTTGATAACTCGGGGCCTCCTACTTGATAACTCGGGGCCTCCTACTTGATAACTCGGGGCCTCCTACTTGATAACTCAGGGCCTCCTACTTGATAACTCGGGGCCTCCTGCTTGATAACTTGGGGCCTCCTACTTGATAACTCGGGGCCTCCTACTTGATAACTCGGGACCTCCTACTTGATAACTCGGGGCCTCCTACTTGAAAACTCGGGCCTCCTACTTGATAACTCGGGGCCTCCTACTTGATAACTCGGGGCCTCCTACTTGATAACTCAGGGCCTCCTACTCGATAACACGGGGCCTCCTACTTGATGACTCGGGGCCTCCTACTCGATAAGTCAGGGCCTCCTACTTAATAACTTGGGGCCTCCTTCTCGATAACTCAAGGCCTTTTATGAGTAGGAGGGCCCCGAGTTATCGTTTACTACAGACATAATATACAAAGACGGTTGCAACTACAGGAGTACCATCTTGGGGCCTCCTATGAGTGAAACGCCCTGTATCTCCATCTTACACTATCGTAGATTGGAAGAAGCATTAGTGCCAGAGCTCTCCGGCACAATTTTGGTGCTTGTCTTGCTTTATTTATATTTTTTAGATTTTGTATTTAAAATGTGCAACTCCTAGTTAATTGTTCCTGATATTGTCATGCAAGCTAAGACCCAGGCGTATTTTCTGTTTAATTCATTCATCATCTAGAACATAGTCTAACTATTTTTGATTAATTTGGTATACTAAAATGTTCTAAACATTAATCATGAAAATAGATCGTGGAAAAACTGTCTTTTTTAAACTATAATTGACTGTATGTAGAAATTTGTAATGCCTTTAATTATGTCTTGAATTACATAATTATTTAAGAAATGATAAAACTATACACATTACAATATTCTATATCAAGATTATATATGTATATATATGCAAATAATTTACAGCATGACCTTCAGAAAGGAAATTAAAATTATATCTGTTTGGAGCACTGCCATTGTTGACATTGAGTTTATTTTCTATTGTATTGGTATATATACTGACTCCTAGTGTTTATTACTAATGATAAAAATGACACAATTTTTAAAATTTATTTGTTAAGGCTGCCACTTGAGCTCTGTTTTTCAATTGCATGACTGGGATCGACTAAATATTAGTAACTCCTCCAGAATCGCAAATTGATGCCCAAGTTTGTGGTAAAGGAAATGGAATCGCTCTACTTGGAAGAACTCAAGACATCTATAAACCTCTTGATGGCCAACCTAGAGAGCCTTCCCGTGTCAAAATGTTCGCAAGAGGGCAAATACGGTTTACAAAAACTAAAAAAGTACAATCATAGGTAAGTTTTTGGCTGATTTTGTTTCTTTTTACGTTAATATTTTTTCCTGGTTTTTTGGATTACAGCTTGGGTATAATAGTCTAGCATTGTTATTCATCTTATTTGCCTCCATTACTTTCATCTTCCGCAGACACCGTGTACCTTTAACTCTCCTTCTGCATTTTTTCTATTTTATTATCGATCATTCTTATATTCTATATAATATTTACAGTGTTATATTTTATATTTTATTTGCAATATATATTTTTATCTTTAAATAATATATATATTTTGGTGTTGTTTCATGTTTATTGACTTATTCTTTCCATGAGAACTTTTGTTTGTACTGTGGTCTTCAGGTCTCTCGTAGTTTGTCTTTTGTATGCAACATAGGAAGCTTAATTTCATATCACATCAATATTTTCTAAGATTATCTTACTCTGTATTCTTTCCGTATTTTTCAATTTTATTTTCCTTTTCTTCCAAATGGCATTTGTTTCTAAGCTTGATTTTTTATGTAATATTAAGGAATATTTTTGGTGTAGATAGATACAATGCAGTATTTGGCATTCTTGCCTGAAATTTTGAAAAAAAATTTTTGTTCTAATGAAAGGCTAGACGACAATGTTTTGGTTATCTGCCGCACATGAAGTTTTTATTTGAAATAGGTGATCTATGACTTTTTAAATTTAGATCAACGTTTTATATTAGCAAAACAAGCATTGGGTAGCATTTTAATTTAGTAGATGCCAGTCTCAGCTGCTTATCACAAAATATATACATATACAAATCCATCCATCCATTCATCCACCCAATTGAAACTAATTTTGAAAAGGAAAGTAAAACTTAAATATGTCTGCCTAGTTTGGCCTCACACTAAGGTCCTCTTCAACAAATTTCAGAGCATTATGTTGTTAGTTTGTTCTTAATGAAAGATCACCTTACATGGGCCTTAGTTAAATGATGACCATTCAATTGGCTCAATGGTAATTGGTTTCCCACAGAAATCATCTGACTTTGATCTTGATTTTAAGACGACTCACTGTAACTTAAAATAATATAATAAGATATTGCAAGGACCCCCATGGAAATAAGTCACTTTTTTTGAGTTATCCTGGAGGGTAATTTACACATATGTTACTATGCAATGTTGCAGAATTGAGTAGGAAGTCCAGGTAGATTTGTTCAGAGTAATGTCTCTAGCTAGCTAGAGCTGCTCCTCTGAATGAGTCTACTTGGACTTCCTACTTATGTCTGCAACACTGCAAGCTCCTGAAGATGTGTTGATTGCATCATGAAAGGCCTATGTTACTATAATTGTACTTACACTAGATGGTTCTATGAAGAACTTTGTAAAGATTTGAGTGTAACATTGACTAAGTGTGGCCTTGAAATCACATTATTGCTCAACTTAATGTTATAATGTCTTAGAGTGCTGTCTCTCTGTTATGTGTTATTGTGGGGAGTGGATATGCTGTCAGAACAGCCATAAGCATTCCAAGGTCAGACACTCATAATAGTGTACTAAGGCAGTTGCAGCCAATGCTAGGTCAGGTGCCAGTGTTAGGTCAGGTGCCAACACTAGGCCAGGTGCCAGTGCTAAGCCAGGTACCAATGCTAGGCCAGGTGCCAATGATAGGTCAAGGGCCACTGCTAGGCCAGGAACTGGAGCTAGGCCAGGTGCTGGAACAATTAAAATTCTCATCATTTTATACTGTTTCAATATCAACTGATTAAATTAATTTTCATATATAATGACACTGTGGGTGTCACATCAAGGGTTTATGTTCCCAGTCTATGTTATGGCTGAAAGTTTTAAAGACTTGCTAGATATTAGAGCTTGTTATATCTTTTAGATCTCTTCTCTTCGATAATTCTATTTCTGTAATCCCCACTTGTTTTTCCTATGCTTAAAAGCTACAGTAGGCATCATATTTATGCACACGTATAAACTCATCACATGGATAGTGAGAATGCTTACCACTATTTGTTTTAAACATAGATGCTGAAATATGTATGAATTACTGCCTTAATTCATACATATTTCATACATATTTTGTAGGATTACTTGCCTGAAATACTCTGCATAACCAGGGGCTTAATGCATGTATAAGCAGATGTCACCCATCTATGTATACACATTGTGTTATGTGGAAATAAATCTTGACTTTGATTTTTGATGCACTCCTTACATCTTCTGGACACTGATAAGAAGAAGAATCAATCAACTACCATTCATTCTTAACCCTTAAACTGTTCAAACATAGATCTACGTTTGCACCACTAGTGCTCCGAACGTAGATCTATGTTTTCTTTTTTTTTTACATTTGAAAGAATGTAAAAAATGTAGATCTATGTTTGGAGAACTAGCGGAGCAAACGTAGATCTATGTTCGGAGTGCTGGTGGTGCAAGCGTAGATCTATGTTCGGAGTGCTGGTGGTGCAAGCGTAGATCTATGTTCGGAGTGCTGGTGGTGCAAATGTAGATCTATGTTTGGAGTGCTGGTGGTGCAAATGTAGATCTATGTTTGGAGTGCTGGCGGTGCAAACGTAGATCTATGTTCGGAGTGCTGGCAGTGCAAATGTAGATCTATGTTCGGAGTGCTGGTGGTGCAAGCGTAGATCTATGTTCGGAGTGCTGGTGGTGCAAGCGTAGATCTATGTTCGGAGTGCTAGCAGTGCAAACATAAATCTACATTTGGACTGTTTAAGGGTTAATGGTACTCAACTGTTTGGGAATGGTGGACATGTCCTGAACATGTCATGAACCCAACACTTAATACAGTACAGTACAGTTTTTATTTCTTTGTATGATACAAATAATGTAGTTTACTTGCAATAGAATACAGTGGACCCCCGCTTAACGATCACCTCCAAATGCGACCAATTATGTAAGTGTATTTATGTAGGTGCGTTTGTACGTGTATGTTTGGGGGTCTGAAATGGACTAATCTACTTCACAATATTCCTTATGGGAAAAAATTCGGTCAGTACTGGCACCTGAACATACATCTGGAATGAAAAAAGTTCGTTAACCGGGGGTCCACTGTACTGTTAGGCACCACAGAAGCCACTAGTATGCAATTCATTTTAGGCAAACTAATTCTAATACTGAAATGTTTAAAAAGTTCCATATGTTCTCTGTCAGATTTAAGTCCTGTCATTAAAGCTTGAAATTTCAGTCATTTGGCCAATTGTTTGCCATTGGCAGTATGGCAAGGGGTAGAGTCTTGGCAGTATGGCAAGGGGTAGAGTCTTGGCAGTATGGCAAGGGGTAGAGTCTTGGCAGTATGGCAAGGGGTAGAGTCTTGGCAGTATGGCAAGGGGTAGAGTCTTGGCAGTATGGCAAGGGGTAGAGTCTTGGCAGTATAGCAAGGGGTAGAGTCTTGGCAGTATGGCAAGGGGTAGAGTCTTGGCAGTATGGCAAGGGGAAGAGTCTTGGCAGTATGGCAAGGGGTACAGTCTTGGTAGTATGGCAAGGGGTAGAGTCTTGGCAGTATGGCAAGGGTAGAGTCTTGGCAGTATGGCAAGGGGTAGAGTCTTGGCAGTATGGCAAGGGGTAGAGTCTTGGCAGTATAGCAAGGTTGGATAAGGTTTGAGATGCAAGTTAAGTCTTGGCAGTATGGCAAGGGGAAACTGAGCATAAGGGTAAATCTTGAGTATGCAAGGGTAAAGTCTTGGCAGTATGGCAAGGGGTAAGTCTTGGCAATAGCAAGGGAAGAGTCTTGGCAGTATGGAAGGGGTAGAGTATTGGCAGTATGGCAGGGTAATCTTGGAGTATGCAAGGTAGAATCTTGCATATGGCAAGGGTTAGAGTTGGCATATGCAAGGGGATCCTTGGCAGTATGCAAGGGGTACTTGTAGTATGGCAGGTTAAAGTCTTGGCCAGTTGGCAATGGGTAGATCTTGGCAGTATGGACAGAGGAAGATCTTGTGGCGTATCAAGGGTAATCTTGGCATGATAAGGGTAGAGTTTCCATATGTGCAAGTAGTCTTCAAGTATGGCAAGGTGGTAGTCTCAGTATGCAAGGGTGGTCTGGCATTTGAGCAAGGGTAGAGTCTTGGCAGTATGGCAAGGGGTAAAGTCTTGGCAGTATGGCAAGGGAAGAGTCTTGGCAGTATGGCAAGGGGTAAGAGTCTTGCAGTATGCAAGGGGTACAATCTTGGCTAGTATGGCAAGGGGTAAAGTCTTGGCAGTATGGCAAGGGGTAGAGTCTTGGCAGTATGGCAAGGGGTAGAGTCTTGGCAGTATGGCAAGGGGTAGAGTCTTGGCAGTATGGCAAGGGGTAAGTCTTGGCAGTATAGGCAAGGGTAAGTCTTGGCAGTATGGCAAGGGGAAGAGTCTTGGCAGCATGGCAAGGGGTAGAGTCTTGGCAGTATGGCAAGGGGTACAATCTTGGTAGTATGGCAAGGGGTAGAGTCTTGGCAGTATGGCAAGGGGTAGAGTCTTGGCAGTATGGCAAGGGGTAGAGTCTTGGTAGTATGGCAAGGGGTAAAGTCTTGGCAGTATGGCAAGGGGTAGAGTCTTGGCAGTATGGCAAGGGGTAGAGTCTTGGCAGTATGGCAAGGGGTAGAGTCTTGGCAGTATGGCAAGGGGTAGAGTCTTGGCAGTATGGCAAGGGTAAGTCTTGGCAGTATGGCAAGGGTAGAGTCTGGCAGTATGGCAAGGGGTAGAGTCTTGGCAGTATTGGCAAGGGGGTAGAGTCTTGGTAGTATGGCAAGGGGTAAAGTCTTGGCAGTATGGCAATGGGTAGAGTCTTGGCAGTATGGCAAGGGGAAGAGTCTTGGCAGTATGGCAAGGGGTAGAGTCTTGGCAGTATGGCAAGGGGTAGAGTCTTGGCAGTATGGCAAGGGGTAGAGTCTTGGCAGTATGGCAAGGGGTAGAGTCTTGGCAGTATGGCAAGGGTAGAGTCTTGGCATATGGCAAGGGGCTAGCAGGTCTCTGGCAGTATGGCAAGGGGTAGAGTCTTGGCAGTATGGCAAGGGGAAGAGTCTTGGCAGTATAGCATGGGGTAAAGTCT